CCTTAGAGGTATATAGATTTGACAGTCGTCAGCGTAGCAATGAAAGGAGATGCCCTGTTTTCTAATAATTCAGGCCAAAGGCAGAATGTACAATGAAAAAAGCAAAGGCCCCAAAATTGAACCCTGGGGAACCCCACATGACAGAGGAGCAGAAAAGGATTCAAATCCTGCAATTTTTACTGAAAATGTTCTGTTTGCCAGATAGGGCCTTAACCAGTCCAGGGCAGAGTGCCACTGATGCCTACCTGGTGCTGTAGACGCATCAACAAAATGCTGTGGGCTACTGTTTCAAATGCAGCGGTTAAGTCCAGTAAAACAAGAATAACATAATCACCAGAGTCRCATGCCAAAAGAATATCATTATAAACTCTCAGCAGGGCTGTTTCAGTGCTATGAAGAATTTTGAAACCTGACTGAAACACATCCATGATATTATGTTCATCTAGGAAGGATTTTAGCTGCACGTAAACAATTTTTTCCAAAACTTTTGACAGTAGAGGCAGCTTGGAGATGGGCCTATAATTCCCCAGTACAGTGGGATCAAGACCAGGTTTCTTTAACAGGGGGTGCACCACAGCATGTTTAAAATTTGCAGGAACTACACCAGATAACAAACTACTGTTAAAAAGGGCAAGAACTGAGTGCCTAAAACAAGGGAAAACTTATTTTAAAAAATGTGGTGGAAGGGCATCACATGGAGAACCAGAGGGCTTAATCTGGGCAACCATATCCTAACAGAGACAAAGACACTGGTTCAAACTGATTAAAAACCACAGAACAGGGCTTACACACAGAGGGGTCAGAGTCTGGGCGTAAAATGGAGGCCCGTATGGAGGTAAACTTATCAATAAAAAACTGCATAAAATTATTACAAAGCTGAGCAGATGCTTCTGAACCAGCAGTGTGAGGAGAGTTAAGGAAAGAGTCAATAGTAGTGAAGAGAACACGGGGGTTGTGGCTGTGAGACAGAATTACGTTAGAGAAGTGTTCCTTTTTGGACATTTTACTGTGTCCTGGTAATTACGCCAGCAGTCTCTAAACAACTGAACGGACACCTGCAGCTTGTCTTTTCTCCACTTGCATTCCGCTCTGCGACATTCTTGTCTGACAGCTCGAGTCCTTTCGTTAAACCACGGTTCAGGTTTAGTTCTAGGCTGTTTGGTTTTTAAAGGAGCCACAGACTCCAGTACAGTCTGACATGAGGAGTGGAGCCAAGAACTAAGCTCCTCAGCATCAGTTGGAGCAGCAGGTGGACAGAGCTGGGAGAACAYTTCAGAAAACTGACTGGCAGTGGAGGGGTTAATAATCCGACAGCTCTGAGCAGGAGTGCGAGATTTAAGAGAAGCATTTTTAAAAACAGTCTGGAATATGACAGGCAWATGATCAGAAATTACAGAATCAAAAATTTCCAGGCTAGACACAGGCAATCCAAAAGRCAGCACGAGATCCAACGTGTGCCCTTTTTCATGTGTAGGTCCAGATAAACAGTGAAACAAATTAAGAGTCAATAAGAGTTGAGAATTCTGATACCAGAGGTTTATCTGGGCAACAAACGTATGTTAAAATCACCAACAATAAGGCCATGGTCATAGTCCATCACAGTCTCTGAGAGGAATTCAGAAAATTCATTAATAAAATCCTGGTTGTATTTTGGTGGACGGTGGATGACAGCACACAGAACCGGGTCAGAACGACCCACCTCAAAGGTGGTTAGTTCGAAGCTGGTGAATTGACRTTGTTTAAAACACTGTTTACAACTAAAAAAAAAATTATCCACCACTGCAGTTCCACCTCCCCGGCCCGATTTTCAAGGAGAATTAAAATAACAGCAGCCTGGTGGTAAAAGCTCCGACAGAGCAGCTGATTCAGCTTCACTCAGCCAAATCTCTGTAATGCAGAGGAAGTCCAGATTATTGGAGATGAAGAAATGTCTCAGAATAAAGGTTTTATTTACCAGCGATCTGGCATTTACCAGGCYGATCCTGGCTGGAGCAGGAGCGGGGTTGTCGCGTTGGGCCCGACTCAGCGATTTCAGGTTCTGCGGGTTCACTCCGCRCTTGCTGAGCCGGTGCAGGCAAAGGCGTCTGTTCCACTGGGGCACATCCCCACCAACAACATGAAYCAGGCAAGGATCCACCGGCTCCAGAAAACGCAGAGGCAAAAACACACTGGTGAACATTACAGGGACTGTCCGAAAACATTTGGACCACGACAAGCAGACCCTCAGCCTCACCAGGCGTCCACCGCGTTTACCGCGGCGGCGATGACGTTTCCGCCGGGAAGGCAGCGCCGGTGTCTGGTATAGGTGAGCTGGATATCCCGACAGCTCAGGAAAAATGTTATGTTTCCAAGTAGCCAATGCAGATACATTGTTGACAGGGTGTCTTAGATCCAATAATGTTTGGCGGTCATTCACCAACAGTGACTTGATTTCACTCGTGCCAAGAGACAGAAACAACAGAGAAATGACAAGAATTGACAGTGAGAGATAGCCTGCCACGTACACCGGCGCCATYTTCCTTCATCAGTTTTGTTGGTGCATATTTAATATACTTCTAATCGCTATTGCAATCTTTCTATCTTTCAAATTACTTATCTCTCTCTGTTTTTCTCTCTGTCTCTATCTCTTCATGAGACATGAGACAAGGGCAAGATGGCGCCGGTGTACGTGGCAGCCGTCTTTCACTGTCAATTCTTGTCATTTCTCTGTTGTTTCTGTCTTTTGGCACGAGTGAAATCAAGTCACTGTTGGTGTATGACCGCCAGACATTATTGGATCTAAGACACCCTGTCAACAAGGTATCTACATCGGCTACTTGGAAACATAACATTTTTCCTGAGCTGTCGGGAATTCCAGCTCACCTATACCAGACACCGGCGCTGACTTCCCGGCGGAAACGTCATCGCCGCTGCAGTAAACGTGGTGGACGCCTGGTGAGGCTGAGGG